TTTTTTGGTTTTTCTCCGGTACCAGGAACCGAACTCACGACCTTGCGCTTGCCAGGCAGGCGCTTTTGCCGCTGAGCTAAATCCCCAGCCCCTTTATAAATGTTTTGTTCTCTTTCTCTAACAGTTTAAAATCTGTATGTTGGACTTCGGGGATTTTGACTATTATGTGTTACGGTGAGGATCTTTTTTGCTTATTCCTGTTTGGAGTTCTATATGCCTCATTTACCTTTGTTGAATTTTCTCCATACTTGGCAAGTTTTCTGCTATGGTTTCTGTAAGTTTTTTTTTATACTGTTCAAGTCTCATTTTTCTCTAATTCCGGTTATTCTCAGTTTAGTCTTTGTGTTGTCTAGCAAGTGTTGGATCCATTTCCCATGGTCCCTTGCTTTCGGTATCTCTGAGTATATGTCACCTGCATCATTCACGTTTTTTCTAGGTCTAACATTATCATCACATTGGTCATTCTGTTGCCCATATTTTGAATAGAATTTTTTATCTCCTGGATTTCTTTCTTGGGTTTATGAGACAGGGTCTCACAATGTAGATTAGACTGGCCTTGAATTCACTGTGTAGCAAAGGCTGGCCTTGAACTCATGGCAGTCCTCCTGCCTCAGTCTCCTGAATGCTGGGATTACAAGTGTGTGTCACCATGCCCAGCTTCTTTTTTTTGGTCTTTTTGAGACAGGATCTCACTGTGCAGTTCAGGCTGGTCTTGAACTCACTTTGTAGCTCAGGCTGGCCTCAAATTCGCAATGATCCTCCTGCCTTAGCCTCCTGGGTGCTGGGATTACAGGCGTGTGCCACAGTGCCTGGCTAATAATATTGTTAGGATTGATATTATTTATTTACTTATTTATTTTTGGTACCAGGAATCAAACTCAGGACCTTGTGCTTGCTAGGTAGGCATTTGTGGCACTAAGCTATATCCCTGGCCTTCCAGCTTCTTCTAGACTTTTGTTTAGTACATTTTCATGAACTCTAATGGCTAAAATGGTCATTCATATTTTGTATTGTTTTGGTTAGCTCTGCTCGCTTTTATTTGTGTCTTTTAAAGTCCAAGGGCTGGGGATATAACTCAGTGGCACAGTACCTGACTGGCAAGCATGAGATCCTAAGTTTGATTCTTGGTAATAATAATAGTAATGCCCACTGTGTGTTTTGTTACATCATTTTTAAGCTTGCTGAACACCTTATTGGTCTGGTTTTGTTTGTTTCTTCTTTTATCTGTTCATACAACTCGCTCCTCCAGTGATGCCCATTGGATCAGCTTTGGGGAAGTGAGGAGTTTTTGGAGGTGTTTTGTTGCCATGTTTTCTTGTGTTTCTGTTGTATTTGTTTGCTTATATCTTATGCGCTGATTATTGGTGATCAGTTAGAATGGAGAGACTCCACTACTAGTATGGAGATCTCTAGTTAGTTTCTGTGTTCCAGTGAAGTGATCTTGGCCAAGTGTAGATCTTGGCCTTTGTCTTAAGATCAGATCCCCTCAGTTAATTTGAGGAGGGAAGGTCCAGCATGATGAGCTTAGTACCTAGTTTTGTGCTGATTTCCACCAGGGCCCTTCTTGATCTGTGCTCCCTTTCCTATATCCTACATCTGCAGCTCCTTCTGTGTTCTCCTTATGTAAACCTTCTGCTAAGGACATTGCTGGATGCTTTCTGGCTAGGGCGCTACTCTCCAGCTCCTCTGCTCATGGTGTTCTGTTGTTCCTGCTCCTCAGAACATCACTCTCCAACCCACAGACTTGGTGGAGTCTCAGAGCCTGCTGTGTTCCAGTAGTCCGTGGCAGTGAGTGATGAGGGACCTATGTGGGTACCTGACCATGGGTAACATGCAGTGGGCTGGATGTCCCACAGGTGCAACACTCCTGGTGTTTGGGGAAAGAATAGGCAGGGGCCTATGCCTGGGCTAGTCTGGTCTTTCTCTCCCCAAGGTCTCACTATTCACAGGTGTGACAGCTCATGTAGCCCTGAAGCCATGAATTTCTCATCATTCAGATCTGGGTCCCTAATCCAGATCGTGGGCTTGTTTTTAACCTCTCCAAGAATCTGCTGGTGCTTTCTTAGACACTGCTTGCTAACTTGCATTTTTTCTGATGCCTTGGTTTGCAAATACCTTGTTTATTGTCTTCGTGTTCCCGTTGGGACAGTTGGAAGGTTAGGAGCCTGTCCCAACAGCCTGAACAACACTGAAGTGCAGACTTACTCCCTCAGAACCTCAGATTGTCTCCGAAGATGCCTGTGTGCCAGACCTAGAGGGTACTGTGGTCTCTGAGCAATCTGCCTTCCCCAGTATGACCCGCTTCATACTGGGTTTGGAGTTAGTGTGTTTATCCTTAGGTTTGCCTTCCTATTTCTGGTTTTCTTTGCCACTCCCATTTCAGAGGATCTTTATTTTTCCCACTGCATGTCTTGGCACCTCCCTTCCTTGATGCTGCCACTGGCTGTGATGGAAAAGAAGACAAAGCAACCCAGTAGTTCATTCTTTTTTATTGCCAAATTTCACAAATGTACCACAGTATATCCATTCTTCATTGGCTAGACATTTGGGGAGTTTCCAGTTGGGGCAATTATGAATAGAGCATTGGGTTTTCTTTATAAATATAAGCAAAATTAATTTTATTTTAAGAAATTTATTACTTAAAAAAAAATTCTAGACCACCCCCCCCCAAAAAAAAGAGAGAGAAAAAGATCCTGTTGGATCCATTGGCACTTAGGTATGGTTCATTGCAGTCCCCTGAGATTTTTGTTTTCCTATTTATGTCTCTAGAATATCTATTTTTCCTGAAAAGTTCCTCTCTCCACCTTAAGCTAGCCCATACTTACAGAAACTATTTCCTGGACAAATGACAACCTTTTGGAGGTACGTTTGTTTTTCTGGTGTTACTGTAAATTGAAGTGCACTTTGCACTGAGCTATATCCCTAGTGCTTTTTAAAAATTTTTTATTTTGAGATGAGGTTTAAGTGTCTTAGTTGCTTTTCTCATTTCAGAGAAAAAAATACCCGATGCCCAAAATTAAGGAAGGAAGTGCTTATTTAGCTCACAGTTTGTGGAGGTGTCACTCCATAATCAGCTGGCTCCAAGGCAGGATGGCGTGGCAGTGGGGCAACGGTTCATAGTGGTAGAAGACAGTAAAAGCAGCAAGAGCAAGCCTCTTTTCCTGCCTTACACTGTATGCAAGTTACTCACCCTAGGGCAGGTGTAACACTCACACCCCTAATCCCAGCACTAGACGGTAAACCAATCACTAACTCTAGATTTAGCCACCTCTGAAAAGCGACCCCCCCATGACTGCATGAGGGTTTGGGGGTACATCCAGACACAAACATAACATTCTACCCCTGCTCGCCCCCAAAGACTCAAGCACATCTTTTATACAAAAGGCATTTAGTCCATCTCTTAAGAGTTGCCAGAGTCCTAATAGTTTTAGCATTGCTGGAAAGTCCAAGTCCCAAGTCTCTGAGATTTAAGGAAAACTCTTAGCTGTGAGTCCCTGTACAAATGAAAAGAAAGTTAAACATTCTGCCATGTAGTGGTACAAGATAAACATTTTCATTCTAAAAATTACAAATGAGGATACAAAGGAATGGGACCAAAGGAAGTCCACAGTCCAGCAGAGCAAATGTGAAGTCCTTTAGTTCCATGTGCAGCATCTGAGGCAATCTGTGGCAAGTTGGGAGCTCCAAAGGGCTTGGGTGGCTCTGCCCCTGTGGCATTTCTGGTGGTGGTAGCCCCTACAGTTTTTCTCTTGGGCTGGCTCTGCTCCCTCCTGTCAGTTTTCCTCAGATGATCCATGTTCCTGGCTTCTCCAAACTTTGGGGGTCTCCACTGCATCTTTGGCTTCACCCTCACAGCTTTACACACTGCCTTCTCAGAGGCACATTGTCTGGCCTCACAGGCCTTCTGTATTGGGATGGAAGCCTTCTTAACTGCACAACTGTTGCATTCTGCATGCGCTTAAAACCAGTGCTACGTGGATAATTCCAGGGTCTGCTTCCAGCTGGAAGAGTAACCAGGCTTTCTTCTCGGCTGTAGGAGTCGAGTGCCTGGGTTGCCGAGCACTCTAAATCCAATTCTGAGGAACAAATTCTCTATGCCACAGCCATTCTGGAAAATAGTACTCTGCAGTGTTCTTCTCAAAGCAAAATCTTTCACTTTTGCAATTTTGAGGCCTGCAAAGGGTGGAGTCCTGTTGCTTCTTGTGAAGCTCGCAGGCCATCTTTTCTATTGTCTTGTTCCTTCAGAGCAATCAAAATCTCCTCTGCTCTATCTTTGCAGTCCACAGCTTTACTTGGAGCTTCCCAATACTGTGAGGCCAAACTCACAGTATTTTAAATCATTCTGCTGTGCTCTTTGCTCTTGATTCTCAGCATAGATTTGCCTAAAAGTTCCCTGAAATAGCCATGCCACTGCCTAAACATTTGACTGCCTTAAAATTTCTTCTACAGCATTAATTAGTCCTTAATCTTAGTTCAGACAGTCTTTGGACAGAAATGCAGAAAAACTTTTTCCCAAGCCATAACACACATTTTCTGGAATCTAACAGCCAATGCAGTCCTTCCCAGCAGAAACCTCCTAAACCTGGTCTTTACCAGCAGGATTTCTATCAGCCTTGTCTTCCGAGCTCTGACCAAAATCTCCCGTATAGAACAGCCCAAGGTGTTCCAGCTCTACTCTTTTACGTGACATCTCCAGACTTTTTCAAACTCTTCCCACAAGCCATTCCCAAAGACTCTTGAACCACATGGTCATGTACAGTCACAGCAATGATCCCACTTTTCTGGTACCAAACCCTGTGTTGGTCACTTTCCTCTCCTTGTGACAAAATACCCAACACCCAACATTAAGGAGGAGAGGTTTATTTAGCTCACAGTTTGTGGAGGTTTCAGTTCATAATTGGCTGGCTTCAAGGCAAGGTGGATTGGCACAGGGGCAACAGTTCATGGCAGCAGAAGATACCAAAAGCAACCAGAGCAAAAAAATGGAAGCAATCCTCTTTTCCACCCTTATACATTGTATACAGGCTACCTGCCCTATGGCAGGTGTAGCACTCACACCCCCAATTCCGGCACTAGACAATGAACTGATCACACACTCTAGATTGAGCCGCCTCAGAAAAGCCTAAACCATATGACAGCATGAGGCTTTAGGGGGACATCCAGACACAAGCCATAACAGTAAGTCACTACAGAATCAGAAAAACAACAGCCTTGTGACTGACCCTAGGAAGGGTATTTCAGAAGACTTCGTTGAGTTGAGAGAGACATCTGCTGAGGGACACAGGTGGAAAAAGATGGTTAGAGAAACAAAGGAGACTTGGGGAGGAAGGTAAGAACCCATAGAAAAGGTAGGAGCTTGGTAGTTGCTTAGGCTGGGCTTGATCTTCCAGGACCTATGCTTCAGCCTCTGTCCTACCACACCAGGCCACAGATTTTTTGTGTGTGTGTCTTTTTTTGGGAGGGTGGTACCTGGAATCAAACTCATGACCTTGTACTTGCTGGGCAGGCGCTGTGCCACTGCACTACATCCCTGGCTGTGTGTCTTTTTGAGATAGGATTTCACTATGCTGTTCAGGCTGACCTTAAACTCACTTTGTAGCCCAGGCTGGCCTCAAACTTGCAGTGATCCTTCTGCCTCAGCCTCTCTAGTGCTGGGATTACAGGTATGTGCCACCATGTCTGGCACAGATCATTGTTTTTAGTAGAAGCTATAAATGATGTCCAATCTTTGTGTTGCTTCTGACAGGTTGGGCATGGAAGAACTGGAAACTGTGGAGGGGTCCAGCTCTGAGAGTTCAGATGATGACAGTGAAGAAATACCTGGTACCTCAAGAATGAGCTTCTCCTCTCCAAAAAGCAGTAGGGATCATATTGAGGTGGCAGCCGAATGTCCCAGCAGTGCTCAGAGGGCAAGAGAATTGACCACAGACTCTGAGTCATCAGAAAAACAGCAGAGCCCTGTGACTGACCCTGTGAAGGGTATTTCAGAAGACTCGTGTGTTGAGCTGGGACAAACATCTGCTGAGGAGCACGGGCAAGAAAAGATGGTGAGAGGAATAGAGGAGATGTCAAGGAGAAAGAAGGCAGAGTATCAAGAACCCATAGAAAAGGTGGCAGCTGGGACTGCCCTGAATAAGGATAAAGAGACAGAAGTGATTGATGGGGAAAGAGCACACAGGGTCGTTCCTGGAGAAGACAGGGGATATATCCCTCTTGCAGAAGGAGAAGAGACTTCATCGGGAAACATGGTAGGTGTTCCTGTTTTGGGTTGGTGTCAAGAGGAAAATCCATGTAACTGTCACAGTATGTTTTTCCCTGTCAGTTGTTTGGTGAGAGGGTTCTTTATTTACCAAGAGATACAGATGATGGTGAAGTTTGTCTCTCCAAAAAGATTGTAAGCTTTGGAATTTATACTGATTTGCCACTAGGTGGTGTCTGACGGGCCGTATTTTGTCAGTTCCAAGATGCATGCTTTTCACATTTTAGCATCTCTGAAATGAGATTTATATATCATGTGTTGTAGTTTAATTGGTACTTCTTATTCTTTTTATTTATTTCCTTTTTTTCCCCAAAGTTTGATCAAAGGTAGGAAAAGAATCAGGCTCTGCAGAGCAGGTTTGGGCCAACTAAAAGTAGGATAAGAAGTACTCCTACAGCGAGAGGGCCACCAGGCAAGAGAAAACAGTGGCCGGTACTGCTTATTCTTAGTACATGAGGGTATTTAGAAGGTAACAATTTAGGTTTGAGGAAGTGTGCTTATATTTCCTATCACTAAATTACTGCTTCTCTTCCTCTTATGAGGCAGTTTGAACAAAGAGTGTCAACTGGGTGAGAAGATCTTTCCTACAGAGGAGAGAGACTCATGCTTTTTAAATTTATCATGAAATCTTAAGTCCTACATTCACTTGTTATGGTTCATATCTACAGTGTCCCTCAAAGCCTCATGTGCTCATGGGTGGGGCTTTGGGAGTTGATTGGATCATAAGTGTATGATACTTATCAGTGAAGTATACTTGTCAGTCAGCTGAGGAGTTTATAGCTGTGATATTGGGAGGAGGTGGGTTACTGGGACTGTGTCCTGGAAGGGTGAATCTCCTTCCTTTCACCTTTGATAGTGCTTTGCTTCCTGGAGCTACACCACAAGTGGTGCCTGCGCTGCCATGCTGCCTGCCTTGGAGCAAGCTATGAACAGAAACCTCTACCAACTGAAAGCTAAAATAAACCTCTCCCGCTTAACTTCTGGGTGTTAGGTATTTTGTCCCAGCAGCAAGAATGTAAGACAGTTTTTGGGATCTTAGAAGTGGAGTTGTTGCTATGATGCTACCTGGCCATATCGTTCAGAAGCCTTTGGAACTGCCTTATAGGAAGAGTTTGGAAAGGTTTGGAGATGCCAGCTTGAGAAGCAGCCTTAGATTGCTGTAAGCCCAGCTTGATGGGATATTTCTGGTTGGAGCTGAGACGATAGAATGCTGAGAGCAGTGCTAGTAAAGATGAGGCTCAGGTTTCTGTTAGGAGGAAATGATACTGTGAGATGGATCCCTGTGCAGAGTGAGCAGCAGATTGCAAGTGCACATCTAATGGTAAAAGCAGCTACATTTACTGAAGATCATGGGAAGATATACTTAGGGCGGGTCTGTTCTGATAAACATACAGGACATGTACAGAAAAGTGCTGCTGAAATGATTGGAAAATAAAAAGCACAGCACACAGATAAATCAGGCACTTGGATTTTAAAGGAAGTACACTGCAGTCTGGGTGCTTTTTATTGGGTCTCTAGGTAAGATTGACAGGAATGATTGACAGTGCTGAGTCATCTCAGGGTCTTTCAGTAAGCATGTGTGTCCTAGAATTCACTCTAATTTTTTTTCACTCTGATTTAATTACCTGTATGTGATGTCCCTATTTATGAACCTGTAATAAGGTTTGAGTGGAGGGAAAGATTACTGAAGGTCAGGCCAGGAAATCTAACATGCATATGTTCTGGCCTGTAACTGTAACGATTTTCTGAGTTTTTGTTACTTTATTTTCTCTCTCTCTCAAAATAGTGGAAGGAGGATTGGTCCTGCGGTGTGGCCCAAACTCAAGTGGGTAGAGGGTAAATGGTCTCCCAGCCTCCATTGAGCTACATTTACTAGAAGGACTCCAATTTTTTTTTTTTTTTTTTTTTCTTGTGCTGAGGATGGAATCCAGGGCCTCCCACATGCTAGGCAGGTACTCTACCACTGAGCCATGTCTCTAGCTTCTGTTATGATTTTTTATTTGGGGGGTACCAGGAATTGAACTCAGGACCTTGTGCTTGCCAAGCAAGCACACTGGGCTATATCCCCAGCCCTGTTATGATTATTAACAGTGGCAGCAGCACAACGTAGTGACAACCACCATGTATTACCTGCGCTTTGGCAGGCTGTCTTCGGACACTTCATTTGTATCCCCCCATTTAGTTCTCAGCAGCCTTCCGGATGAGCATTATTACCCCCATTTTTCATTGGAGAAACCTAGGCCCTGACTCATCCACAGCCTCAGGACTCAAAGACAGGCTCCTGCCACAATCAGAGGTTCTCTCGCTCCTGTGCCCTGGAGTTACCACCTGTTCTTTGTCCACTTCAAGAGTTCTGCCCAGATCTTCATGTCCCCAAGCGCTGAGGAGCCCAGGCTGGCTGTTCCCTTGCAAAGCACTCCAGAAGCAGAGGGCTCTGGCTTCGTGCCCCACAGCCAGCCTGCCCCTGAAGGCTGCACAGCACACCTGTGCCAGCACTGGACCCTCCTGGAGGCTGCCACAAGCTCCCAGGTGCCCGCTTTCCCACTGCAGTCCAAAATGCTTGGGGCTCTCAGGCAACCAGGGACAGGTGACAGATGAGCAAATGGAGCAGGGCAGGAAATCTGTTCTGCTCCTCCCTCGGCCTCTCTTCTGGCCTCAGCCCCGAGACTATAAATTCCAGCAAGTGTCTCAGGAGGGAATCTGTACTTTTTACATCTTTCAAGGAGGAAGTCCAGAAGTGACCTGCCACCTCCCAAATTCCAGAGTCCTATAATTACAGAGTGATAATACATAATAAAATGAAATAGCAAGAGAAGGTATTCATGATGACCCACTCAGGTTAATAACTTGCTGTAGGAAACACAGCAAGTTAGGAGCACAAGCCTGATTAGGACCTAGACCTTTGGGTGCTCAGAGTAGAGTTCTTGTAGTCAGCCTACTCTCCTCGTGTTCCATCTCTCTGAGCATCAATGCCTTGGACATTTACCACTCCCAGGGAGAAAAGGTGGGAAGTCCAGGCAGGATTATTCCCTTAAGTACTCCGAATTTCCTTCCTCTGCCCATAGGCCAACCCCTCTCCTTTGACCCCGCAAGCCTTTTCTGCAAAGTGATATAGGATCCTAGTGCCTGGTATTATCTCAACCCACTCCTCACCCGCCCCAACTTTCCCCCTGCTGCAGACTTCTTAATCTCCCAGACTTTGCTTTGTCATTTATAAAATGGGAATAATAATAGCCTTCCTTTCTGGGCGTGGTGGCACACCCCTGTAATCCTAGAACTCAGGAAGCTGAGCAGGAGGATCACCGAGATTTCGAGGCCAACCTGGGCTACATAGTGAGTTCAAGGCCAGCCTGAACTGCACAGCAGGACCCTGTCTCAATAATAATAATAATAATAATAATAATAATAA